GAGACAAAAATGACAATTCATGCATTGAGATGAATTCTACTTGGAATGGGACACTGGAACACTTAGCTCTTGCTTCATAGAGGCTGGCAACTCCTGCTGGTTGATAAAGCCCCAAGCTCTCACGAGGTAACTGTCTCACCAGCAGACACCTTAGCAGGCCTGGCTCCTTCAGCCAACTTCATCTCAGGTCTGGGGAATTCTTGTGGTTAGCTGAAGTTAACAAACCCGGTGTGGGCAGCAGTCCCCTGCACAGGGCATGCATATTAAAGCCGACAATGCTTACAAATGTAAATAAGGGCAGATTGATTAGGAACAACATTATCGCTGGGAATGTCGCACTCGCATGCATCAGCAATGAGGCAAATTGGGGGCAGCCCCAGCCCTGACCACCCAAGTCGAGCAGCCTTTTACACTCGCTCCTCTTCCCTTTCTTAAAACGTTACAGAAACAAGGCCAATTAGATCCCCCAAGTAATTCATCTCTGTGTATGAAAAAAGCAGACCACAGGGGAAGCGGCGGGTGGGGGGTGGGGAGATTAAGATAGCCCTTGTTAGAGCCGAGTCTCGGGATTGCGTCCTGTAACCAATGGGTAGGATGTACAGGCCAGGACCATTGTCTGAGATGCTGGAAAGTTAACCTATCAAACAGCGGGCGGGGGGCTCAGGGCGCTGAAAACCTCGGGGATCAGTGTTCAAAACGTTTAGGAATTAAGTCAATCTCAGGGAAACGAGCCCGAGTGGAAGAGGCTTTGCCATTGATGCGCATGTGGGAGCCGCCAGAACGAGAGGGGGTGCAGCTGCGTGCTGGGGGAACCCGGAGCCCTTGCGTGGAAGTAGTAGCGCTCTTACTTCGTTCTAGGGTTCCACAACCCACGCAGATGTACAGAAATTCCTATAAATCAAAGATTGGGAGGAAAGACGAATATTTGATCTAAAACGCTGCAAAAAAATTCGAAAAAACAAGCATAGCAAGGTGTCTAGGGCTCCACGGTTACCTTGCCATACAGCAAGGCTCAAGCATAAAAAAGCCAGCACGTAAAACCAGGGGTGCCGCCAAGACTTTAAAAACCGTTTCCAGCAGCCAGCACGGAACGGTTGGACTCGAAGTGCGTGCAGAACGGTTCAGTAGGAAAAGCTGGCGCAGTAAGCCACTCTGCCTGCTTTGTGCTGCCCGTCAGGATCAAGACCAGCGTTTTGCTGGAAGACGAGCCCGGTCTTCCTGCGC